GAGCTTAACTTCTGTCTCGCTAGCTTGCCCTGCGCTCTTCCTTCTGACTATGCTGTCTGTGTTGAGCGCTCAGTGGATCTGCGCTCGACAGTGCAACCTAGGCGGAGTAGTCGAACGCAGATTCACTGAGCGCTCAACACAGACAGCATCGTCAGAAGGAAAGTTGATAAAATAAATGACAAATGTTGTATTGTTCGATACATATGCGTACCGAAAGCACTGTATCGAACGGTTCAATATCGATACGAATATCGTTGCACCCCTAAAATAAATTTAAAAAATATATATATATATATATATATATATATATATATATATCCCCATAGGTCCGTCATCCTATTCGGACTTTACCCCTGTTGGGGTAATAGGCTGGCCAAAGGAGGAGATAGAAGCCACTGACATAAAGACAAGAAAGCTGCTTACCATGCATGGAGGGTTTCACCCCAAGTCCAGCACCCTGAGGCTGTACGCTAAGCGGAAGGAAGGGGGCCGGGGACTGGTGAGTGTCAGCACCACAGTCCAGGATGAGACAACGAACATCCAAGAATACATTGGGAAGATGGCCCCAACTTACCAAGTGCTCAGTGAATACCTCAGGCAGCAGAAACCCAAGAAAGAGGAGGGAGACGAGGAACCATCATGGAAGGACAGGCCCCTGCACGGTATGTACCACCGGCAGATAGAGGAGGTGGCTGATATCCAGAAATCCTACCAGTGGCTGGACAAAGCTGGACCGAAAGACAGCACAGAGGCACTAATCATGGCAGCACAAGAACAAGCTCTGAGTACAAGAGCCATAGAGGCTGGGGTCTATCACACCAGGCAAGACCCCAGGTGCAGGCTGTGTAAAGATGTTCCTGAGACAATCCAGCACATAACAGCAGGGTGCAAGATGCTAGCAGGCAAGGCATACATGGAACGCCATAACCAAGTGGCCGGCATAGTGTACAGGAACATCTGTGCCGAGTATAACCTGGAAGTCCCGAGGTCAAAATGGGAGATGCCCCCAAGGGTGGTGGAGAATGACCGAGCTAAGATCCTGTGGGACTTCCAGATACAGACGGACAAAATGGTGGTGGTTAACCAACCGGACATAGTGGTGGCAGACAAACAGAAGAAGACGGCCGTAGTGATCGATGTAGCGGTTCCGAATGACAGCAATATCAGGAAGAAGGAACACGAGAAGCTGGAGAAATACCAAGGGCTCAGAGAAGAGCTCGAGAGGATGTGGAGGGTGAAGGTAATGGTGGTCCCCATTGTAATCGGAGCACTAGGTGCGGTGACTCCCTAGCTAGGCGAGTGGCTCCAGCAGATCCCGGGAATAACATCGGAGATCTCTGTCCAGAAGAGCGCAGTCCTGGGAACAGCTAAGATACTGCGCAGGACCCTCAAGCTCCCAGGCCTCTGGTAGAGGACCCGAGCTTGAAGGATAAACCGCCCGCAGGGGCGTGCTGGGTGTTTGTGTGTGTGTGTGTGTGTGTGTGTGTGTGTGTGTGTGTGTGTGTACCGTATTTTCACGACCATAAGGCGCACTTAAAAGTCTTAGATTTTCTTCAAACAGTACGGCGCGCCCTATAGCGCAGTGCGCCCTGTGTGTTGTAAGGAGGACGTAGTAGAGAACACCATGAGAACGCTAAAGGGTGAAGTGTGGGCGCAACCCTGAAAATGGCAAAGAGACACGCTTATGAAGCACAGTTTAAACTGAAGGCCATCAGCTACGCGGAGGAACATGGAAATCGAGCAGCGGCGAGAGAATTTAAGATTAATGAATCGATGGTTCACAAATGGAGGAAGCTAGAAAACAAGCTCCGGCAGGTCAAGAAAATGCAGCTGAGTTTCCGCGGACATAAGGCGAGGTGGCCCGAGTTGGAGGAAAGACTCGAGCGGTGGATCATCGAGCAAAGAACGAGCGGGAGAAGCGTTTCGACGGTCACCATTCGGCTAAAAGCAGTTTCACTTTCACTTTTTATGAAACTGTGCCATTTCTCCATCCGGACCAGGACTACGGTAGCGCAGCAACTTCCAGCGGATTATAAGGAAAAGCTGGCCATCTTCTGCTCCTACTGCAGCAAACACATCGGCGACAAAAACATCCAGCCCAGCCACATCACAGACATGGACGAGGTCCCGCTCACTTTTGACATCCCGGTGAGTCACACTGTGGAGAAGAAGGGGACCAGCACGGTAGCGATACGCACAATGGGGCACGAAAAGTCTTCTTTTACTGTTGTGCTTGGCTGCCATGCTAATGGACAGAAACTGCCGCCTATGGTGATTTTAAGAGAAAGACTTTGCCTAAAGAGAAGTTTCCAGCAGAAATCATCATTAAGGCAAATGAAAAGGGCTGGATGGATGAGGAAATGATGAAAGAGTGGCTGAGGGAGGTGTATGTAAGGAGACCAGGTGGTTTTTTCCACGCATCACCATCGCTCTTAATCTGTGACTCTATGCGTGCCCATCTCACAGCCGATGTGAAAAAACTAGTGAAACAAATTAACTGTGAGCTTGCTGTCATTCTGGGAGGCCTGACAAAGGAACTCCAACCGCTGGGCATCGGTGTGAACCGCCCGTTCAAAGTAAGGCTGCGAGCGGCCTGGGAGCGATGGATGACCGGTGGAGACCACAGTTTCACTAAGAGTGGAAGGCAGCGCCGGGCGAGTTACGCCACAATTTGCGAATGGATTGTAGATGCTTGGGCTAACATGTCTGCTGGCACTGTTGTTCGAGCTTTCGCAAAAGCCGGCATCATTTCCGAGGAGCCGCACGGCACGGAAAGTGACTCTGACAGTGAAGACAGTGAACCTGGCATGTTTGATGGAGATTTAGCGCAGCTGTTCAATTCAGACACAGAGGATGAGGACTTCGATGGGTTTGATTGATGATAAAAATGTGAGTACCAAACTTTGTTTTGCTCCTGCTTTATTTTTAAATACGCACACTTGTATGTTTGTGTGTTGTTGATGATGATGATTACTGGTAATAAAAATGTGAGTAAGGTACCGAACTCAGGTTTGCTCCCGCTTTATTTTTAAATACGCATACGGTACTTGTATGCGCCCTATGATCCAGTGCGCCTTATGTGTGTGTTAAATACAGTAATGGCACACATAACTGAGACTGCGCCTTTTAGTACAGTGCGCCTTATGGTCGTGAAAATACGGTATTATATATATATATATATATATATATATATATATATATATATATATATATATATATACATACACAAACACACACACACATACATACATACTATTCCCATGTTGTTGCAATATAGTAAAGACTAACCTCATATTGTGGATGGATTATCTCAGTTGTTCTCCTGACTGAAGTTTGGTCCAATTACAACATTTGCATTTGTCCTAACCATCAGAAACCCTCACGTTAACTTTTATCGAGTGGAAAAAAGTTAGAGTTCATCCTTCAACTTCACTGTGCTAATGTTATGCTAATATAGCTGTTTTGCTAGCAATCACATAGCACATCATTATATACCAGCTAGTCCGACTTCAGTAACCCTGCAAACGTCACTGCTGTTTAGTTTTCTGTCTTCATTTACGTTAGAAGTGATAGCAGAGCTGTACGCTTTAAATTTCTTCAGAAATCTCTCAGTCAGAACATGGCATATCATGTTTAGGTGGAAACTAGTGAGCTAACTTCCTGCTAACTTCTAACTCCATTGAATTTAATAAATTCTGTTTTCACGGATGCCTGGATGTTAAACTTAGTTGTTACACCTGGTAAAGCAGCAACGCTGATCATTTTATTAAAAATGAAAGAATTTCAACAGTTTTTATCTCTCAGTGATGTCGCAGTGTTCGTTTGACTTTGGGACATGAAGAAGATGGAGTTTTGGACACAGATTACTCCGCAAGGCTCCTGACTACGGCAGCCGTAATGCTCCGACAATCCATCAAGCAGTGCACCTTTATAGCTTACCAAAGTCGTACTAAAACATTTTTGGACAGATTTCTGTGCGCCGTGTACTACATAATATTGATTTGAGGTGAGTAAGCACAACCAGAATTTGGAAAAAAAAAAAAATAATCATTTTGAAGCTCATAATACATCTGTCACGGTTCTGGGTCAGTTTGACCCAGTGTTTTTAGTTGTTATGTTTTGGTGTGTTTTTGCATTATGGATTGTTTTCTTATTCTCTTGTGGTGCTTTTGTTGGTGGTGATGATGATTATGAATCTATGTTTTAGTTATTCTTGTTTAGGGATTAGTTCTTAGGTTTTGTGTTCTCATGTTTATTGCAGGTTTAGTTCAGTGTCTAGTCCATCTCTCCCTGTCCAGTCCGCTTTGCTCCTCCTGTCTCATTAGTCCAATTTCTCCCAGCTGTGTCTCCTTCCTGTTGCCCATTCCCTGATTACCTCCCTGTGTCTATTAGCCCTGTGTTTCTCTGTCTCAGTGTCGCATCGTACCCTCAGATCCTGCCTGTGTGTTCTCGTTTCGTTTCATGGTTTGGTTTCTGTTTTTGTTTCTTGCCAGCAATAAAAACTGTGGTTTTCAGTTACATTTCGTCTCAGAGTCCTGCATTCGGATCCACATCTCCGCCTGCCCGCACACAGAGCCCTGACAACATCCCTTTTTAGATATTATGAACATTTTTCCTTTTTTTTGTACTAATTACAGTTACTTTCTGACCTTTGACCTTCAGCTCTATGTTTCTCTGTCCCAGTTCTTCTCTTCCATCACTGACGGAACAGGTGTAGATGCCGCTGTCGCTCAGTTCTGGTCTTCTGATGGTGAGGCTGAAGTCTGCAGTTTCCAGAGCATCAGACGTCATTGATGTGCGCCCCCTGTAACGCTGGTTTTGCATTTTGAGATCATCTCCTTCTTCTAGTCGCAGATGAACACATTTGGGATCAAGATCGTTACGAGTCCACATCACTGTGGGATTCTTCTCAGGAAGAATACCCGAGTACTGGCAGGGCACCAAGACGGACATTGCCTCCTTATACACTTCCACCACCTCAGCCAGGGCATGCTGGGAACCTGTGAGGACACACAAACAGAAACCACGGTTAACTGCGTGCTTTGGGTTTGTGTCTGTGTCCAAATGGTGAACTGCAGGCCATCTTTAGGGACCAGGGAGAGAACTATTTACAGTTAATCTGTCTATGAAATCTAAATTTAATCAATGAGACTGAGGATTTAAAAAAAAAAAAAAAAAAAAAAAAAAAAAAATCTTTAATTGGCTTGTTTAACAGAGAGAAATAGGTACCTATGGTGTAGGTAGGGCAGGGCAATATGGCCAAAAAATATTTATTGCGATATATAATTGAAAATTTGCGAGTTGACACGAGTCAAAATACTTTACAACTCAACAACTTTATTAGTGCAAAAAACCAAAAACCAATCAATATATTTTCACTTAAACGAGCAGCATTTTTTTATGTGCATTAAAAGCTTTATAAAAATTTAACAGTGCAAATGCAAATTCCTTGCTGACAGTTTAACCAAAAGGCATTTCCAGTGGAAATGATCTGGAAGGGCGTTCAAAGAAGAACAATAGAAGGATAGCCGGGGTACCTCAAGGCAGAGAGAATGGTCAGCGCGCCAGTGATTTTGTGGCAAAGCTGTTACGAGATCTATTGGACCTGGATGAAACTCCGCTGTTGGACCGAGCACGCAGAGCCCTGCGAGCAACTCCAGAAGATGAAGCCCCGCCACGACACTTGATCGCGAGGATACATTACTACCACACCATGGAAGAAATACTACGAAAAGTTTCTATCAGAAAGAATTTGAAGCTTGGTGACATTCGCGTTCAGATTTTCCGCCATCTACCTCAGGCAGTGGTAAAACGACGTGCAGCGTTTACTCCAGTAAGGAACCTGCTTCGAGACCAACCTGGAGTTAAATATGGACTTCTATACCCTGCCAAACTCAGGGTGACATACAACGGTACGGAGTTGGTGTTTACGGATCCCAATGAAGCCCGCCGCTACGGACAAGAAAAATTTGAATCTTAAAAGGGTCGACATAAAGTAGACAAACTAGAGCTCAGCCTCTGGCCCAGTGACACATATTTACTTTGATGTAAAGAGACTACAACTTGTTATGGAGCTACGTTGGATAGAGGAAGTTTTGAGATAAAGTATTTTGGTAAGCTTAGTTTTTGTTACCGCATCCCTTCAGATTTTTGGTTTTTATTTTTATTTTCAGTTGGGACTGTATGGGCGGGGATGCATTGCTTACGAGTTTGTTTTGTTTTGGTTACACATGGGGAGGGTGGTGGGGGGTGAGGGTTGGGGCCCACATCTTGACTGCATAAGTATGGAGAGTACCAGAATTAAGCCGCCTTAATATATTCAAATGCAAGACAATGGAAATGGAAATGAAAATAATGTGGACCTGACCTTTTGTACATGGAATGTTAAAGGTGTAAATGAACCTGTTAAGAGAGGCAAAGTGTTATCACACTTGAAATCTCTTAAAGCAGATATTATCTTTTTACAAGAAACTCATCTGAAAAATGCTGCTCATAATAAACTTAGGTGTAGATTAGGGATGCACCGATACCGATACTGGTATCGGGGCCGATACTGTAAAATGTGTGTGTACTCATACTCATAAAAGTTAACCGATACCATGAACCGATACCAACTTATTTCATTAATCAGATGGTGGCTTGTCATTTCTGTTGTAGTTCTTTAGATTGGCCACTAGGGGAACATCCCACGCTAAACAGGCACAGGGTTAGACGAGAGAGACTGCCGGCTCCAGATAAAAAAGAGAAACTGGAGGCTGCTGTAGCTAGGCTAAACAAAATGTCAGCAGTGTGGACCGGAACAGCCAACTTTAACTCAGGTTTTGGAAAAGCGATGAAAAATGTCAAGAGAAAATCCACGGGCAGTTTAAATAACAGAGGGTCCGACTCATTTTATCGCTCTGGATGACCAGCCAATGCTGGCCGTGGAAAACATAGGATAGCACCGTCTTCTCAGCATACTCGAGCTGCGATACGAAATTCCCAACCGCCCATACATCAGGGAGATAATGGTGCCAAAACTGTCTGAAGAGGTAAAGACAAACACTGTGTGCGCGATGTCAGTCCTTGGTTTAACAGCACAGTGGACTGATGATCCACGGGCAGATGAGGAGTTTGTCCGTCAATGCCAAATACTTTTGTTATTTTGTTTGTTTGTTTACAATATGGACACTCTGCAATAATTTAAACGTTTATTTTATTCTCAAACCTAATTTGTATTTATTTTATTCCAAACAGAAGTGTTAATTTATTATTCTGAAAGCTCGAGACAGTGCCAATAGTTCAGTGATATTTTGTTAAATGTGGAGACTCTGCAATCATTTAACAGAAGTGCTTATTTTTCACTTGAAATTTTTTTGTGGTCATTTTTATTAAGATTTTATTTTTTTATCGGCAGGGAATATAATAAAACCTGTCTTCCAATTCATTGCATGTGTGTGTGTGTGTGTGTGTGTGTGTGTGTGTGTGTGTGTGTGTGTGTGTGTGTGTGTGTGTGCGTGTGCGTGGTAGAAGTATCGGTTTTTGTACTCTGTATCGGCAAGTACTCAGATCCAAGTATCGGTATCATATCGGTTTGAAAAAATTGGTATCGTTGCATCCCTAGTGTAGATTAATCAGGTGTATTACTCAACATTTTCTGCTAAAACCAGAGGGGTAGCTATATTAATTAAGAAAGATACTCCATTCAGGCATACCTCCACTAGCTGATAAGAATGGTAGATATGTATTAGTGACCGGGGAGCTGCACGCCATTCAGATTATTCTACTGAACATTTATGGATCTAACCATGATGACCCAGAGTTATATAGAAAGGTTTTCAGTGTAATTCCGGATATACCTAATGGTAATTTAATAATTGGAGGTGATTTTAATTTAGTGTTAGACCCATACTTAGATAAATCCCTCTCCAAAAAAACCACATTGTGTAAAGGTAGCAACTTTATTAAAACATATATGAACAATATGAATATTTGTGATGTGTGGAGAATTTTAAATCCATCAGGTAGAGAGTATTCCTTCCACTCTTCTGCATATAACGTTTATTCAAGGATTGACTATTTTCTGGTAGATGGAAAAATGCTCCCCCTTGTTCATAACGTAACCTATCACAATATTATTATCTCTGATCATTGCCCTGTCACCTGCTCCTTTGCACTTAACAACTTCACCAAAGCATATAGGAATTGGAGATTTAACCCACAACTACTGAGCGATTTAAAATTTGAACAGTATATAAACTCTCAGACCTCTTTATTTTTCGATATAAACGATAATGCCGAAACCTCATCTGTTATATTATGGGAAACGTTTAAAGCCTATATTAGATGGTGCATAATATCATATCAGGCCTCACGGTATAAAAATAATAAATTAGAACAGTTAAAATTAGAAAAAATGATCCACAATTTGGACACCAATAATGCAAGGGCTCCCTCCTTAGATAAGTACAACACTATCTGTGCATTAAAATATAAACTAAATCAAATACTAACCAGCAACATTAATACAGCGTTCACCTTTGTAAGACAGAAGTACTTCGAATTTGGGGACAAGCCACATAAGTTGTTACCTAGACAACTAAAGAAGTTAGAAAATGACAGAATGATTCACAAAATTAGATCACACAATGGAAACCTGGTTACATCACATAAAGACATTAATGATAACTTTAGACAGTTTTATGAATCTCTCTATACTTCTCATTCCACTGCAGGGCCTAAAGATATTCAGGACTTTTTAGATAAGTGTGACCTCCCTGTGTTAGATCAGGTGGATCGCAAGATTTTGAATGCCAAGATTACAACTGAAGAAATTATCAAATCTATTGGTTTATTTAAAAAAAAAAAAAAAAAAAAAAAAAAAAAAAATGGTAAGAGATGGGTCAGATGGGTTAGGGATTGAATTTTATAAACAGCTCAAGATTAAACTTGTTCCATATCTATTTAAATTGTACTATCATGTATACAAAGTGGGCACCCTACCACCAACATTGAATAAAGCAATTATTACAGTACTCCCAAAAAAAGGTAAAGACTTGGAGGAAGTGGGATCATATAGACCTATTTCTTTTTTAAATTCGGATCAAAAAATCCGGGCTAAAATACTAGCGAGTAGACTCAATATGGTAATAGATAAACTGGTACACTCAGATCAAACAGGCTTCATACCAGATAGGAGCTCCTTTAATAATTTTAGGCATCTATTTAATATAATCTACTTCTCCAAAGTGCAACAGGATCTCCTTGTACTTAGCTTAGATGCCGAAAAGGCATTTGATCATGTGCAGTGGCCCTATCTCTTTGCTGTTATAGAGAAATTTCAACTGAGACAAGATTTTATTTCCTGGATTAAATTACTCTACAAGAATCCCACAGCCAGAATCCTCACAAACCAAACATTATCCACTCAGTTTAAGCTCAGCAGAGGGACACGTCAGGCATGTGTTCTTAGTCCTGTTCGCTCTGGCTCTGGAACCCCTGGCACAGACAATTCGTACACACCCTGATAGACATGGCTACGACACAGTATATACCTCTAATACTATATCACTCTATGCTGATGACATTTTACTATACATAGCAAAACCCCAAACTTCCATCCCAGCAATCCTCTCCGTTATTGACAAATTTGGCACCTTTGCTGGTTACAAGATCAACTGGGGAAAAAGTGGAAAGCAATGTGTGGCTTGCATCTCTTCCATTTAAAATAACTTGTGAAAAAAATTACATATCTGGGCATCATAATAACAAGAAATATAGTTCCTTAGTGAAAGAAAACTTTCTCCCTCCACTGGAGAAGTTAAAAAACAACATCCAGTTTTGGAGGACATTGATAGGAAGAGTGAATTCAATAAGAATGGTATTTCTCCCGCAATATCTGTATTTGGTCCAAAATATCCCAATTTTCCTGTCCAAATCTTTCTTCAAAAAGCTGGATACCATTATTATGCCGTTTATATGGAACTACAAAACACATAGAATAAAAAAAAAAGAACATTTA